GTGAACCCAGCGGAAGAACCCTTCGCCATGCTTTCGGGAAAAAAACGATCTTACGGTCTTGGTGACTATCTTGGCCAGCGACTGGAATTCCCCTTGTCCTTCCAGGTAAGCACTATAAATTGGAGTGGCTTGCCTGAAAACACGGGGGCATGTACCCAGGGTTGAATTTTTTTTCGGGGGGGTTCCCTTCTAGTGGGAATCCTCCACTTTTGTGGGCAAGACACCCAAGTCGTAGGACGAGTTTATTAAGAAGGCGTTCCCATCCGTAGGTACTCAAACGTCATTCTAGGTTTTGCACAGTGGCTTCTCTTTGTTGCCCACTATGTTGCAATGAACATGCTTACTGTAGCTCCATGTGCTAGCTGGCCGGTTCTCCTCTCAAGTGCTCCTCTTTGGTGGCTGGTGTCCAGCATGTCGCTTTTTGCCTGCCAGGTAGCTGAGATCCTCCGATTGCTCCGCCCAGCCCTGGCCTAAGACGGGTCTCCGGCCAACTGGCTTCCAGGATGAGTGTTGTGATCTGCGTGTTTTACCCAAACACCAATTCATATGGAACCTGACGTTCGGGGGTCCTTTTACAAGGAAAATCGTCAAAACGAGGACCCCCCCAAACGTCGGGTTCCATTCATTGGTGGGAGGGTACCCAAACACTGCAACAACTCTTCCTCGGTATGTGAAGGGCTTTCTTCAGTGGAACATGGTGGCGGACTCTGTGCCTGCAAACCGTTGGGACAGATGGACATTCCGACCTTATGGGCTCCCTACCTTAGGTGCCCTTTGCCTTTTGCAAGATAAACCATTGGCTTTAACCATGGACCTTATGTTAAAAACCATGTGATAAACCATAGAACCATAGGGTGAAGGGTGAGACATATGGTAAAGCAGTGACATTCACCGAACTTGAGCCTTGCCCCTGGCTTTTGGTGCTTGCCAAGGTGAAAGGCGACTGAGAGGCACTGGCGAAACCGCGCGATCGCACAACAGAACGATGCACACGAGCGCGAGTGTGATAGCATGATGATCTGATTGTGATCCGGCTCGGCATTTTCAATGATGCAGGCTGGATAGCCATGGTTGTCTCTTTTTTGGGGTGCATTTGCACCCTGCAGCATGAAGCGACCTTCATGATGAGTTAGTCAGCCTTGCCTATGGCGGCATGTCTCTTGTAATATCCTGAATCCTGTCGATTTTGGACAGAGAAGCCAACCCTCCCCTCATGCTGATACATAGTGCCCCCCCCCCCCTTTTTGTCATTTTTGTGCCCCTGAGCGAAACCAACATGCACAGTGGCTTCCTTGGCGTTTCTAGTGGCAAGGACTGTTTGACTTATTGGCAAGAAGTTGACTGAGTTCCATGTTCACGAATGTTATTCGTGCAAAGTGCAAACTTTGGTTAAACAAGCAACTATGCATTAGATGAGACCACGCTATCAATGGCCCAGAGTGCTGCCGCGCGTGCACCGCCCGCGTTTGCATGCGCACACCGAGCAGGAGTGCTTCAAGAGGTATTCCCGCGTCTTTGCGATTGTGTTTGACAGAATCGGTGGTTCGGAATGGAGTCTGGATGGATTTGGATAGCAAAAGAAGCCACAGGGAAGCTTGGGCCCCAAGCGTATTTGTCCATGCCATGCAGGGAGTTTCTAGAGTCTAGAGTCGCTAGAGGTTGTCCAGCCAAAAGCTGCAACGGTCTACTCACCAGTTCAAGCCAGTGAACGGTTGATTGCAGGCGTTCAAGTGTGCTTCTGTCAAGCCTGACAGGGAGTGACATTCTTCCGAACAACTGTCACGATTGGACATTAACAGGGTTACAGCCTTGTCAGAGCTTCATAAGCCTGAAACTTAGCACAAGGATGTCACAGACATGTGTGTGAGAGCGCCTCCAAGGGCTTGCCAGTTTCTGAAGCACCTGGTGCTTGGTGCAGAGAATGCGGGCGCGGGCATTTAATCATAGATTTTTACGCATGTACAGCAGGCGCCTTTGCCTTTCGATCAGGCCAGACTTTGCCAGACATTGCCAAGGTGCCTATGGAAACGGCCGCTTGTGGCTTATGGGCCGTTGGCAGGTGTCGGCCTTTGTGGCCGACTTGATGTTCCACAATCGTTGAATTTCAAGGTCAAGAGTTCAGGCTCTGTTGCGGGATCAGCGAAGAGCTGTCGCCCAATTTGAAGGCGGCCCGCACGGCCCGCACGTCTCATAGCGCGTTTGGCTTCGCTTGGCGTCGTGTGCCCTCCCTCTGGCTAGCATGGCCCCTACCAGAAGCTCCTGTTGAATCAGGCCTCCTCTCAGTTTCCCTGGGGTACGGCATGGACAAGCTCACGATTTGACGGGTGTCCGGAAGTGTGCGACAGACCATCAGGTTACGCAGTCCTGGCACTCTCAGATGCCTCAATCGCCGATCGGTATGAGATCGCTGGATGGCCAAAGCATCGATACTGATATCCCGCTGGGTTGCTGTAAGAACCTTGAGCTCATTGCAGGAGATGCGGCAATGGCGCACGGATCGTTGACTTGCTGTATGGTGCGCACGGGCCCAGATGGGTATGTGTCAAAGTAGGGGACCCCACAAAATGCTGGGTTTTCCTTTTGGTGCAAACCAACCCTAAGAAGGGTACCCGTACAAAACACTCCCAGCTCTGAGTTCAATCAAAGGCATTTAGGGCCGGGCCGATCGGAGCTTCACAGAGCAATTGGTTTCAAACGCGGTTTCGCTGCCTCGGCAGCACAGACGGCAAAGACCTCGGACGCGTTCAAAAAGACTGACACAGCGGCATTCGAACAGCCCGCTGCCTCATAGAGATGAATGGACAGCCAGATGCACCGCCATGCGCGGCTGCGGGCTTTTTGTCCTGGTGGTGATATGGGTTCTGATTCCACTTGTGCTGGCAGTTTGGGGCAAACTGGCAGGCAGTCTTGAGCTGTTCATCCTTGAGACATGCCATTTTCGCATTTGTTGGTGTTGTGAAACAAGCTTTCAGGAAGGGTGTGTTACTGCGTCCAGCAAGCTGATGAATTGAATTTCCAAAGGCAGTTAGCATTGCTGCATGCTAACAGCATTGCTGCATGCCAAATAGCAAAACAGAAAGAACGCAAGCCAACCGGGATGGACCATTGCGCCTTTCAAGACCAGCACCCAGATCACGAACGCTCATGTGCAAGGGCAGAGTTCCTTTGCATGTGGAGCATCTATTATCACCTTTCTGCTTGAATGCTGCATGAACAAGCCCCGTTGATCAAAAGGCTTTCCAGGGTCCAATGATCACCCTTGATGGTTCAACCGAGTAGTATCGAACACCGCAAAGCTTCTTTTGAGAACCCCGCCAAATGCGGGCACACTTTAGCGGTGCCAGGGATGATGCCGCGGAGCGTGGAGCCTTAGCTTTTGAGGGGCAGACTCCTCGATATTTGAAGCTGAGTCAGCAATCGAAAGCCACCCCCTGCCCCGGCACAGGCACCAATGTTTCTGGCTATGAGCGCTTCAAGTCCCGTGCAAATGATGTCCACAAACAATCCCTAATTTTAGATTCACGCCTGGGGGTGTTTCAATGGGAACTTGTTCAAATGGTTGGTTGTCTTTTCCAATCAAAACGAATTGAACATATCACTTAAATTTAATCGGATTTAGACAAAACGGATCCAAACCCTAAAGCAATTGTCCGGAATTTTAACTGACCAACTGATCTCAGTTTGGGTCCTTCAGATTCCTTCATGCTCTGGGTTTCACACTCCACAAAACTCATCCAAAGTATGATGTGTGAAAAAAGTCCCCAACACCTCGAGTGCGATGAAACCAACCTTCAACGGCACCTTTGAAGTTATCCTTTTGGTTTCCCTTTAAGCCAACCTTCGAACGCTTCGAACTCTTCACCCGTGGATCTGAGGCTCGCATTGCGGGAAGTGCTGTCCGCGCAGGTGCGCGGCTTTCCGTTTCGACTACCCCGCCAAACCGTCAGGGGCGTATGTAACTTCCAGGTACCCGCTTGTCTATGTTCATGGATATATATATATATGTGTGTGTGTGTAAATGCATACATGTTACAAGGGAGTGTGGCTAAGTAGTTGCTAGATGTTGCTATATGTTAATAGATGTATCTGTATATAGATGGATGTGTATAGAGGGTGAGGGTCAGGGCTCAAAATGAATCCGTGAGATCCTGTTGTACCCGGCAGTGGTTTCTCTTGAGGCTTCCCCTGGTTGCAAAGTAGGCATTTGGGGTTTGGATGATCACCCCAAGAATCCTTTTGGGATGGCTATGTGAGCGGCCGCAGGGGGGGCCACTGCGGCTGAGCGCGTTTTTTTTTTTGCACGTGGCATGGGATGGCTGAATAGGAGCATAGCTTCCATTGACACGTGCTTGACACGGATGGCTTGCCGACATGGTGATAGAGTGTTGGCGTCCAGGAGGCGACGACAGTTGGTGATGGATTAAGTACCGTTCTTTCTCTCTAGCATGGAACCTCATTGGAGTTTCTCGGGAAGAACACTTTTCTAAAGAGACTTCCAGCCAAGTTCCATTTTAACTGCGGGGTGAGGTGTTGCCAGATGCCTTTCAGGTCTGCAAAGCGTTGTTCAGCTTGGAGTGGACAGACTTTTGTCTTGTCAGGAGTCTAGGGTTTTTGCTTTAAGCCACGGGTCTCCGTCAAAATATCCAATCCATGATCCATTAGGGACGTTGGGGACGCACTAATTTTCCCGCAAAAAGGACTCGCACATCATTCCACGGCCTTCGCAGCGCATTGCGCATCTTGGCATTGGCCCATGTGCGAGGTAGGCGCCTTGACGGTTTGCTGCGCCAGTTTTCCGGCAATCTGAGACCAATGTCTTCGGCTTGGGAGTTCGCAGGCTCAAGTAAGGCCAGAAGCAAGTCAGGTGAACAACGCGACAGATCTCTCATGATAAGCCCTTGGCACAGTTCAAGCGCTCAAGCCCTAGGGGGCGTCGGCATGCTACTACTCACTTTGTGCAACTACCTCCAAAGCCGGCAGAGCTTTTCTGCCACTTGTCTATGGACGACGAGGAAGAGGTTGAGGCAGGGCTCCTGGTGAGTCGAGTGTGCAAATGGCTTCACCTGAGGTCTTTTGAGAGAATATTACTCATATGGCTCCCGCTCCTTCAAGCGGAAGTACACTTAGAAGTTGTCCAGGGTGTGAATCCAGGAATTCAGGGGCTTGCCACTGGCATCTCAGGAGGCTAGTCAGCCTCCCGAGTGCTGTTCCGCATTCGCCTCTTTGGCTGATCGACCAAACGAGGCGGTCAAAGGGTGCAAATGGCCTGGATGTGCCAAAGGTTCCTTGCGATTGGCAGCAAATCTGTAACTCCCTCTCTGAGCACGTCTCAAGGCACGGTGCCCAGAAATAGTCAATTTGTTTTAGGAAGTGCGTCAGGGTCTCTATTTGGCGACTCGGGTGAGAGCATGTGTCTTTGTTAGAAGCTACTTGTCGCACCCTTAAAGCTATTTAGAAAACCCTTACAATTCATTGTTGAAGGCAGTAGAGATATCCATAAAACACATGAACCAGTTCCAGGGCTGGTTTAAAGAAACAGCATGTTGAATTCTCTCCCCCTCTCAGAATTTGTCACTCTAAGACCTCATGTGGTTCGCCAAAAAACACTCCCAGTAAACTCAAGTTTATGGCTGGTTGGCTGGACCTACTTGACCCCACTCACTCATCAAATTGTGCACTGAACGTTTTGACCCACCAACAAGGTGGTGGTATGGCGTGGTATAGTATGGTATGATGATATGGTGCAATGATATACACGTATTTGTTGTTGATGTATGTCATTATGGTATACGAATGTGTATGATATGTCTATGATATTATCTTGACTCGTGTTGATTTCTGAACCGCTCCGAGCCCACACAATATTGCAAGTCCTGTTCACAAGCCGCTCCATTTTTTTATTTTTGTAGGCATAACTCTAAAGAGCTCTGTGCCGTTCAGTGCGATTTCTGTTGAATAGCTCTGAACCGCTCAGATCCGTTCCTCACTGTTCCTGAGGGATAGCCCTGAACCGCTCTGAGTCACTTCCAAATATGCATCAATCAATCAACGAATAGCCATAAAACCAAAAAAACAAAAACTGACTGTATGGCTGTAGTTCTGCCATCACATCTCATCATCATCACACATGACCTATTCACAGCTAGCGACTCCCAACAATGCTGGACTAGGCTATAAACACGTGTTTGCATACTGTTGGTGCGTAGCTGTACAACAAAATAACCACTAAGAGAGTACCTTCAAGAGTTGCGTGTTTTTTGTTGGCTCTGACTAAATTACAACGACCGCAGAAAGATCCTATGGTCAGGCGCCCCCCAAAGAGGGGACCTGGAAATGGTCCTTGGGCCCTTGGCCATGGGGCTAGGGCTAGGTGTGGCTTTCCGGTTGGCTTCTCAGAGCGCCCTCGACAGACTCGACCCGCGGCATGGCTATGAATGGCAAAGGGGGATACCGTACCAAAGGGTCCCCAGTCCCCAGCCAAGCATCATCTCCATGCGTGGTTTTGAACATATTTCTTCATGACCGCGAGACCTGTATTTTGCTCACTTCTTTCGCGACTCGACAGGTTGCTCTTGATGCCGGTGAGATTTGGCGCCTTCGGGAGTGCGGCTGGGCCGGAGAGGGAACGGCGGAAAATATGGGCTTTCTATACAGGTGGAACCCCAAAACACACTATTGAAGAGGGATAATGTTGACCTATTGATCAACCCTAGTTTATTCATATGGGGGTGCCCCCCCAAAAAAACTAGACCACGGTTGGCCCGAAAGCAGAACATCGCAAGCGAGGTCTGCAACGCTGCAGGATGCGTTCTTTTTCCCTACACGAAGCATTCGTGATCTGCGCAAGTTGCTCTAGGCAAGGCGCTCTGCGCAAACTGGTCGGTGCAAGTTGGTCTGCGCAAGTTGCTCTGTGCAACTTGCTCTGCGCAAGTTGCTCTGCGCAAGTTGCTTTAAAATGCAAGTTGCATCTTGCGACGCCCGCCCGCGGACCAGGGAGGAATCGAACCCGCGACCCGCCGGTTCCGGGAGCAGGCGCGCGAACCACGAGACAACTCCCGAGGACCAGTTCGAACAACAAAAGTCGCAAACAACCTCGAGTTTTTGCACCTCGACCACGCCGATCCCCGCAGAGGGTCGCGCGAGCAGAGAAATCGCAAAAAACCATGGGTTTTTGCACCTCGACCACGCCGATCCCCGCAGAGGGTCGCGCGAGCAGGTTAGAAATCGCAAAAAACCATGGGTTTTTGCACCTCGACCACGCCGATCCCCGCAGAGGGTCGCGCGAGCAGGTTAGAAATCGCAAAAAACCATGGGTTTTTGCACCTCGACCACGCCGATCCCCGCAGAGGGTCGCGCGAGCAGGTTAGAAATCGCAAAAAACCATGGGTTTTTGCACCTCGACCACGCCGATCCCCGCAGAGGGTCGCGCGGGAACTTTAGAAATCGCAAAAAACCATGGGTTTTTGCACCTCGACCACGCCGATCCCCGCAGAGGGTCGATTTTCGTGTAGTGTCGTCGGCACTACCCCGCCGCCCTAAGAAGAGATTTTAACTCCTCGCAAGTCAATTGCACTTGACTCCTTGCACTTGCAACTTGCACTTGACTCCTTGCTTGTTTCAAGGAGTCATTGCAAGGAGTCATTGCAAGGAGTCATTGCAAGGAGTCATTGCAAGGAGTCATTCATTGCAAGGAGTCATTGCAAGGAGTCATTGCAAGGAGTCATTGCAAGGAGTCATTGCAAGGAGTCATTGCAAGGAGTCATTGCAAGGAGTCATTGCAAGGAGTCATGAGAGCCATTGCAAGTTGCAAGGAGCCAAGTGCATGGAGTCAAGTGCAAGTCGCAAGTGCACGGAGTTAAGTGCAAGTTGCAAGTGCAAGGGGCCAAGTGCAAGGAGCCAAGTGCAAGGAGCCAAGTGCATGGAGTCAAGTGCAAGTTGCAAGTGCATGGAGTCAAGTGCAAGTTGCAAGTGCAAGGAGTCAAGTGCAAGTTGCAAGTGCAAGGAGTCAAGTGCAAGTTGCAAGTGCAAGGAGTCTTGCAATCCTTGCCATGACTCCTTGCAATGACTCCTTGCAATGACTCCTTGCAATGACTCCTTGCAATGACTCCTTGCAATGACTCCTTTGACTCCTTGCAATGCACTCCTTGCAATGACTCCTTGCAATGACTCCTTGCAATGACTCCTTGCAATGACTCCTTGCAATGACTCCTTGCATGACTCCTTGACTCCTTGCAATGACTCCTTGCCATGACTCCTTGCAATGACTCCTTGCAATGACTCCTTGCAATGACTCCTTGCAATGACTCCTTGCAATGACTCCTTGCAGCTCCTTGCAATGACTCCTTGCAATGACTCCTTGCAATGACTCCTTGCAATGACTCCTTGCAATGACTTTCATGATGATGATTCCTTGCAATGACTCCTTGCAATGACTTTCATGATGCTGATTCCTTGCATTGACACCTTGTAATGACTCTCATGAGAACAACTCAAGTGAACCCAGCGGAAGAACCCTTCGCCATGCTTTCGGGAAAAAAGAGAGAGTGGCGATTCCCCACTAAACCCAGGGAGACCCCATATTTCAAAAAGGAAGCTGGGGTTGATAAATATGGGGTCAACATTATGAGACACCCTCTGAATTCCTGCATGAACACCTACATGTATCTTCAAGAGGGTATGAGGGATCTCGCTTGTTGGGGCCTTTCTTTGCAGCTTTCCGTGCTGGAAACATGTTGATGTTGCGGGAGGGAACGGGCCATGAAGCGCGGTTGCCGTAGGGAAGATTGACGTGCCTCCTTCGGCATAAAATGTTGACCCCGTACTCAACCCCAGTGTAATGATACGGGGGTGTCCCTGGGTGTCCCTGGGTTTAGTGGAGAATCATTGGAATCATCACTTTGGCGGGGAACACACCCCTAGTAATTAACTGGGGTTGATTAATATGGGGTCAACATGATCATCCGGTTTTCTTGTAAAGCAGATCGCTTTGTTGGATGTTCAAGAACGCGTCTTAAGCCACGTGAGTGAATGACTCAGGGTGCGCTCGACTTAAAGTTGGAGCGGACCCCAAGACCCCAAGACCCAGGCTTTCCTTTGATTTCCCTTTGGTCTTGCTGGTTCTCAGCAGGCAAGGAGAAGCGGTTTCTGACCCCGACAATAACCATCCAACCTGTGGTTTCCTTTATTCGGGAATCCGAAAACGGTTCATTCCCATAATCCTGGGTCGCGTCAATCTCAACCTATCGCACCAGCAAATGCTTGCCAACCTGCAAAAACCGATGCCCTCCCACCAATTATCATGTAACCAGACGTTCGAAAAGTCCTGGTTTGGACCATTTTGCCCTTTGAAAGGGACCGGGTCCCGAACGTCAGGTTCCGGCTTTTACTTGGTGGGTATCCACAAAGGACGTGGCACTTGACTCCAGACTCCGACCTCGGAGCGCGCTTTTCTTGAGGCAAGGAAGACGACGCGCCCAGCACCGGATGGCGACCTTCAGAGCCTTCCATGGCTTGTGGGGGCTGGGTGTGCAGGGAAACCGTAGGCAAGCGACACATGAGCCACACTGAAAACCAGGGGAGTTGGAGG